AGGAATAATTGTGACTGCAGGTATGGAAAGCAAAAAGTTCACATGTGTCAGGATTCCTGTCTGTGTATGTGTATTTTTTGTGTTTGTTTCCCTTCCTCGACCAGGAGCCGCCTGGTTCTGATCCGCCTCCCTACACACCTGCTGTGAGTTACCTCATTAACGGAGCGCCCTTGAGCTGCTGACAGCCACTACCTCAACGCCAAAGTGTTTGACAGTTTGGGGAAGTCATCCTGCAAACTGGATGTTTCGGACCTTCTTTCCCTGGAAGGATCATCTGAGCTTCAAGCTAAGTTGAGGATTTAAACTGGAGGTTTGAATCAACTTTTCCTCAAGAGATCGTTTGAGCTTCACACTGAGCAAGGGATTCATCTCCACTACGACCCGTTCAAGTACCGCAGGAAATCTAAGTGGCAGTCAGCTTCTCCGTTCACCTACAGACAACCGCATTCTGGGTAAACCCTGTCCGCCCTCCACAGAATCAGACAAACACTGGAACTACCGCACACAGACTGGAGTCAAAGAGACAACAACTTCTCTGGAAACGTGAGTCTGCAATCTATTTCTCCTCTTCAAGTTCGAGAATCAAATTTCCCACCAAGCCTGAAATAACCGCTGTGTCTTCCCCTCACCTTTCAGTTCCGGTTGAGCAGTGTTCAGAGCAACACTGGATTCTTTACAATCTCCTAAATAAACCTGTTAAACTTTTCCCCTGGTCTTTTCTGTATTGGTTTAATGCTTTTGGGTCAGATCTTAGTTAAAATCATGACAGAACACTCTGGCCATACCGTCGACCCAGCAGAAGCCATTCAGAGAGCCTTTCGCCTTCAACAAACAGTAATCCATAAACATCACAACCATTTCCTCGATCTCAGTACCAATTGTCTGAACTTAACAGCCGAGTGACTAAATTAACTGAGGCTGTCCGTGTTTCTCTCTGGCCCAGCCGGTGAGCTAGCCCCTCAGCATGCTAACCAAGTGGTTTTTGCTTCCCCCCATTCTGAGTGTCAGCTGGCTAATCCTTCCAGGTTTGATGGAGATCCCAAGAAGTTCCATGGTGTCCTCATGCAATGCATCGTTCAATTCAACCACGCTCCGAGTAAGTTTCTTCAGGATTATGCGAAGATCTCATATATTATCTCACATCTTACTGACCGAGCTCTGGACTGGGCTGAGGTAAGATTTTCCTCATCCTCTAATTATGGCTGCACCTATGAAGAGTTTATCAAAGAACTCAAGTTAACATTCAACCAAGACACTGACAAGATGCTAATCTCTCGTGAGCTGTTGAGATTGAAACAAGGACACAGATCTGTTTCTGATGTTGCCATTGATTTCCGCATCATGGCTGCTGCCTCAGGTTGGGATAAAACAGCCCTTAAGGGGGTTTTCGCTCATGCTCTAAGTGATTCGATCAAGGATGAACTCGCCACCCTAGAAGAACATGACTCTCTTGAGGAATTAATAAAATTCTCAATCTGTTTAGATAATCCGTTTCGAGCCCACGCTAAGGAAAGGGATAGTAAAACAGCTCCTTCCAAACTTCAGTCTAACAGTTTCCCCACTGAGCTACCTGCTAACTCATCCCCGCCTGAACCTATGCAGATTGGCAGCGTCCGCTTAAGCCCTGAGCAAAAGCAGCACCGTATGCGGGCTAAGCTATGTTTATACGTTGGAGAAGCAGGCCACTTTGTTGCCTCTTGTCCTCTTTTGGGAAAAGCCAGGGGTTCACCATTAGAAAGAGGGCTACTGGCGGACCAGAAGATTTCTCCCTCTTCACCTCGTCTACTCCTTCCTGCATCTCTGCTTTTGAACAATAAATCCGTTTCCTTATCGGCCCTGATTGATTCTGGCTGTGAACAGAATCTAATTGACTCTGCTTTTGCTCAACAGATGGGAATAGAGCTTATTCCTCTACAGAACCCTTTGCCTTGGATGGCAGAGATCTGCCTCAGATTACCCACCAGACTATCCCTTTACAACTAACAGTTTCGGGGAACCACATTGAAAACTTCTCTTTCTTTGTTTTCCCTACAGCTGTCTCTGCATACACTTTGGGTTTCAAATGGCTCCAGGCTCATAATCCCACTATAAATTGGACCAGCAGACATGTGGAGTCATGGTCCGTTTATTGTCACTCACACCATCTTAGATCAGCTGTTCCCCCAGGTTTCCAAGTTCTGGATTCTAGTGAGTCAGACGCCATTGATCTCTTTTCCGTTCCTGCCGACTACCACAACTTATCCCAGGTATTTAGCAAATCCAAAGCCTGTTCTCTGCCTCCCCACAGACCATACGACTGTGCTATTGACCTGCTTCTTGGAGCCCCTTTGTCCGGCAGTCGCCTATTCAACATTTCCAAGCCTGAAAGGGAGGCTATGGAAAAGTACATTAAGGATTCTGTAGCTACCGACATAATTCATCCCTCATCTTCACCCCTTGGAGCTGGGTTCTTCTTCGTGGGGGAGAAGGATGGATCCCTTCGGCCCTGTATAGACTACAGAGGTTTGAATCAAATCACAGTTAAAAACAAATACCCGTTGCTCCTCTTGTCCTCAGCTTTTGAACCTATCCAAGGAGCCACAGTCTTCACTAAACTGGACCTCAGAAACGCATACCAACTACTCCGCATAAGGGAGGGAGACGAATGGAAAACCGCCTTCAAAACTCCAATTGACACTTTAAGGTACCTGGTAATGCCCTTTGGTTTAATTAACGCTCCCTCTTGCTTCCAGGCCCTGGTCAATGATGTTCTTAGAAATTTTCTGAACATTTTTGTCTTTTTTTATATTGATGATATCCTCATTTTTTTCCAAGAACCTTTTTGAACACAAGATCCATGTCCGCCAGGCCTCCCTAAACACCTGTTGTGAGTTACCTCATTAACAGAGCACTCTTAAGCTGCTGACTGCCACTACCTCGACGCCAGAGTGTTTGCCAGTTTGGGGAAGTCATCCTGCAAACTGGATTTTTCTGTATTGGTTTACTGCTTTTGGGTCTGATCTTAGTTAAAATCATGACATGTTTGATACATTGTCAGTGTCAAGATTTCTATTAGTAAATGAGAGCATTTCAATGTTACCTGAGATACATGTATTAAGTTAATACAACTATATTTCTTACTAAATGTATAAATAATTAAATATTTATTTTTAAAGTCAGCTATAATTATTAAATACGTGTTGTTGCTTTAAGACCATCATGGATTTTTTTAATCTATTGTCTGAAAAATCAAAGGTTTTTTTGTTTTTATATCGGTCTTTCAGCTCTTAAATAAATAAGACA